GAATACTCGGTATGTATCAGTATAAGATCTATACATGTGGTTCGTGTGTGCTTGTGAGTGAGTAACGTATGGTTATAGTGGAGTGCAGATAAGTACAATCGATACTTGTTTCGGGAAGTCATACGGGTGAGAGCCCGGAATCACTCACTCTCATCAAGAACTTTTTCGCTGTTCATGAGTATTGTATCGGATACTTTTCAAAATATATACATTTGGGTCGCGTGTGAACGTGAGTGAGGACGGGTTGGTCAGTGCGAAATGAGAAGGACACTTTGAACTGCATGTATCCGGAATTTCTTTTGGCAAAACGTCGGACACAGCCTTTCTCAGCAATTAGGAATGGTTGTTTTGTTGGTTTTGAATTATAGCGGGCTCGTGCAGAAGTGTATGGATGTAGTTGGCTGAGTGCTACTCGAATTCGTACGGTGAGAAAGCGGGCATATCCTTTGCCATGGAACACGGAATGGAAGTCCCCGGAAATGTCCCAGGCCCCTTTACACCGTACGCCTTTATCTTTAAACCGTGCATACATACCCTTTACCCTTTCTTTCCCACTTCAGATGCTATTCGGATATCTACCTTTTGAATCCACAAATGAAGCCATAACACAACAACTGATTCTGGGTCATGAAACCACTCTGCGTCTCAGTGATCCTAATGTCTTACCAGATGGTCTATCAGATGATTGCAAGGTATAGGGGATGTCATGAATACATCTGTATACGTGTAGCATATTGACTCTATCTAGCTATATGCAGATTGACCCTATTTATGCATCTCTACGTACAAGCAAGCTAAAATGCGCAGAATTCTTAAGTCATCACGAGGTCTGGTATATTTCTCAACCTAGTAGGGAACTTGCGTTTGTAGTGTGTCATCCAATTAGCATTCCTACTCTCGCTGGCAGCTTAGGCACGTGTACGGATAAATGGATGATACGCTATAAATCAACGTTTTGGAGTGCTTCTCGATCCACGTGCTCCTAATTGTAGGCGCCTGCTACAGCTTTGCGGCGTGCCTATCATCTATTAATCTGTTGTGAGTGCGGCCATAGCAAGCAAGGCTGCGATGGTTTGTGTATCCCCCATAGTTGTATACACAGGGCTTTTGCTGGGGTGTGGCAGCGACTATATAGCAACAGTAATGTCATCAGCCCGTGTGTAGTGATATATTGGAACATTTTGTCGGAATACCAGCAGAAACATTCCCATCAAACCGGGATCGTGTCTAGCATCGTTCATATCTGCATGAACCCCTCCTCCGCCTTTATTCTACCGTTCAGGATTTGATCTTAGGGCTTCTGACCGAAACGTCACAGCGTTTATCGTACGAAGATATAACGGTGCACCCTGCACTCTCTGGAGTGAGCGAGTGCTTCTCAGAGACTGAAACGAGTCACGAACCCGTTTCTTACATCGCTTCATTGCAAGTGAGAGATGCTCCGGCCATTTCACCTAAAAGGTGCGTTCAAGGTTTTAACATTTCAATGCACTCGCCTCGAGTGATTGGTCAGTCCTGACGCATGCTACTTGTGCATCAACAATGTGACATCACGTTGGTGTATGTGAGCTCTATGTGAGCTGTATATGTCGCTTACTTATATCCTGCATTCGAATTGAGTGACTGGTAATGTATATTGCATGCCCGAGTCCTTTTTATTTCGACATCATTTTGGTGCGTGCCGTGCTTAGGCTGAGGCGGTCTCGCAGACAATATGCACTCGAGGACTGAAATAACTATACATTCTACTCGAATGCGTGTTCACGCGTGTTCACTTACAATACATGCTATTGTGTCTTGATGGTGTTGCGTTACTGTTTTTTATTGTTCACTCCGACGATGTGATTAATTTGACCTTGAATTAAATATACTACGGATTTATCTTACCTATCTGTAGATGTTTCGGTCCCTTGTTTTGATCCTAAAAATTGCTTTTTTTTTTAATACTTTCGGTATATCACTATCTTACTTTTTGCTCGCAGATTACAGCGTCAACGGTCAGCTGTTGGCCTACCACTCAGAGGTCGACCTCCGCCGCGTACCAATTTTTCAATTGCACCAACGAAATAAATAATAAATACAGATTGTATGTGATATTTATGTCTTGCGCGGCCTCTTTGTATCGAGTGGTCTAGCATATTTGCGCTCAGCTGGATATACAAGGGGTTACATCAGTCCTATATGCGATAGGCGGATCCAAGATGACATGCTTAATTAGAAGTATTGATGAGGTGCGCATACCACTATAGATGGTTCGTCAGCTAGATATTTCTAACTAGGGCATCTAAGAAGGCATGATTTCTAGTGTTTAGTATTGAAGGTGTGCATACCACCATAGATGGCTCGTCAGTTGGATACTCAGCGCGCCACATCTGTGCTGTGGCTTACTGGTGCATCTAAGAGGGCATGATTTCTGATGTTCAGTACTGTCTGTGCGCATACTATATTTAATTGTTCGTCAGTTGGATATTCAGGATGTTAGCTCAGTGTTATTTCAGCGGGCACAATTTATTGTGGGCATGCTTTCGAATACAAAGTATTGACGGTGCGTATGTATATCAGAATTAAAACGGACACATTATAGAGCACCAAACTAGAGTTTGAAGCAAATACGCGTTCATCCGACTAAAAATAACGCGTTCATATAAAACCATGTCGAGATGTTCCCATCGAGCATTGGTCTGTGCTTCAAGATTCAATACAGTATGGTAGCAGTGCGAATCCACAGTTGACTCACCCGTTCTATAGAAAAGACTCAGGAACATGAGTTTGGAGGTGGTACATTTATTACATGAACTCGGATTCATGCGTATCAACGATCGCTTGTTCACTACACCCAGAGCGGTTAAAATAAAAGACCAACCGAATAATTTGAGTTTATAACACGGTATGTCACCTACCAGCCCATACAATCTAGACGAAACCTCTTTCACAGTCAAAGAGGATCCACATACCTATTTTGGTGATGAAATCAGAGAACTGCTTTTATCCAAGTACCTTTCTACACAACAGTGTGATATATCCCGCCGAGGTGGTCACGCCAAGGTGGCCAGCTGGGTCCTTAAGATTTTGCACCGTAAGTGATTAAAAAAACCAAATAACCGCATGCCTTGTACAGATCATAGTTTGACACGAGTATACACAGGTCCATCTTGGATATGTACTCTTGTGAATATAACCTGAAAGCTACAAAATCGATATGCATTTAAAATAAATAAACGTAAATCTATTTTTGTGACCAGTTGTCAACTGGTCACACATATTGCCGGTAATTGCGACTAAGTCCACGTCACACACAATGCAGAATGTATTTGTGAAACAGGAAAAGGTTATATTTAGGATACTACAGACAGTTTGGATATTGCGTTGAGTGATTGTGTCTACCTTCGAACAAACAGATTTATATCCCGATTGCTATGAAATCGTTTTATATATTTGTGTTTGTGATGCATTCAAGTAATAAGAACTTGCAGGTTCTATTCCGTTATTCAGATTTGTGTCGAAATTACTGACATCTGAACAGAATATTTGTATCTACTGAATAATTGTAGTAGGACTCATGTAATTAGTGACAAATTGTAGAATTCAAGTATGATTAAAAATTGTCTATGTATAGGTTACAGACGATCTAAATGTTCGAAGCAGTATTGTCTTCCTTGCGTACACGAGTTAGAGAATTTGGGGCATAGTTTAACATATATTCTAGCGTGCGTGAATACTCATGATTGTCACTATACCATCCACACTTGTTTGTGATACATATCTGCAATGTAAAACTCATGTAGCGACAAATAGTAGAATTCCTGTATGATGAAAATTGCAAGTTTCATATATCAAAATGGTACGTGGAGCAACAGGCTGAATAGATCAGAGCGTTGAATTGTAATCGGTAAGTCCCGAGTTCGATTCCCCGGGCTGGCAAATCTTTGCAAAATCGAAAAAAAAAATCTGTTCAGGGATTCACACTGCAGGTTGACAACCCTGTGCTATCCACGGCCGGTTGCCGTACAGAGGGCCCGAGAAGGCCCTGTAAAAAGTAACTAGGGGTCTAGCTAGGCAAGGCCCCACAAAAGTCAAAACTTGAAACCCTGACGACTGGAGATCCAGGAAATGGGAGGACCCAGCTATTGGTACCAGAGGTGGATGAGGACAGAAAAAGCCAAAGAGCCACGCAGCCAAAGAGCCAAATGTGGAGACCAGAAGCCCGAAAATCGGAAAATGGGGACGACATACGACAAAGGTATTTCCAAAAATACCACGGGCAAGGATAGGAAAAAGAAAACCTTAAGGTCCCGTGGACAAAAGGTCGCCTTAAGGTCCCATGGACAAAAGGTCGCCTGAAGGTCCCATGGACAAAAGGTCGCCTTAAGGTCCCATGGACAAAAGGTCGCCTTAAGGTCCCATGGACAAAAGGTCGCCTTAAGGTCCCATGGACAAAAGGTCGCCTTAAGATCCCATGGACAAAAGGTCACCTTAAGGTCCCATGGACGAAAGGTCGCCTGAAGGTCCCATGGACAAAAGGTCGCCTTAAGGTCCCATGGACAAAAGGTCGCCTTATGGTCCCATGGGCTTCTGGGCCTGGGAGTGTGGCGCGGTATTTCTTTAGTTGTAATTGTTTGGATCATTATCATATGTGCAACCAGTAACTTGGCACATTAAAATGATGCTAGTCCCAATGGCTGATGAAAGGCAACGCTCAAGTATGTGTTTCGATACAATATCGCAACTTTATTTAGTTCAACATTGTAAGCATATGCAAGTATAGATATAGATATACTACACATACAAAGGGAGCTCGTCGATTTGAAATTCTTTCTATATTGACAGACGTCAGTTGCTATTTGTCATTGTCCAGTATATTGTTGAAATAATGGGCACGGCAGTTTCTCATATCTTTCCCCATACGCAACCGAATTGGTAGAAGAATTATCTTATGTATTTGTTTGTGTTGAGGGGAGGAGAAGCACTGTCTCGTGTACGAACTCTATTTCGTCAGGGTGGTTTATTGAAAACTTAAGAATGTGCAACATACGTGACAGATCCGTTATTGCTACCGCATTAGTTCGTGCAGATCGTCAATTTTTGCTGCTGTCAGCTTTGCATATGTATTCCAGTGAGCTCGGACTATTTTATGCACTACTAAATCGATTTGGCCGCATATTCATGATGATACCAAAGATGACTTTTTCAAGTCCATTGCATTTCTATATGACTTTGAGTGTGGGCTTCTTATTCACTATATACGCGGATGTCAACTTGATTGAACACATGTCAATGGGGACGATAAAATAAGCACAAATATATACAAACACCTGCTGAGCGGTCAAGCGGTACCTTGGATTACGAATGCCTCTTCGTTTATTGCGCGTGCTGAAAAATACAAAATTTGTGTGCGAGTGGAATTCTCTCGTTCAAGCAAGCTTATCACGGAGAAGTTCTGCGTGGCCCTAAGTGAGCAGTTTCTACCGTATTCTGGGATGTGTGCATACGCGGTGTTTCTCTATTTGTAGTTGTTTCGATCATTAGAATTTACATACCATGCTTCCATCCGATTTGAGCGCAGTTTTTAAGTAGTGGTAGATCATTTGCTCCAGCGTGCGTACACGCGTTCCTGTCTGTATTAACAGCAAGTACATCCGGCCTAACGCGATAGGGACATGTAAGAATATGATTGAAAGAAGACATGTTCGTTGCTGAGGAGCTTCGCAAGGTATAATTGCACCGCGAAAAGATATTGTGTTGCCAAAGTATTTGGATATGGGGACCGTAAGGAGATTCAGAGCGCTACAGATACTGCACGTTCTCGAGACACAGTTTATCCCTTCATCGACGCAGCTACGATACAGATCGTCACTGTCCAAATTATTGCTTCGGTAATTGAAGCACTGGTATTCTGTTGCATGCGTGTCATGTTGAATTGATTGTCACTCACCTTTGATAAAGGCAAACACACTTCCAAGGAGCCCCCAATCTTTATAAGCACCGGCTCCAGATGTTTCACAATTGTTTTGTCGTGTCACGCACTGGCCAACCACTGCGGTCTCGTTCGAGCGCTGGACTGGACGTATGCACAAATGTACCCACATATATGCTTGTAACGCCGATTATATTTGAGTACATCTACAGCCATGTATACTTTTGTTGTGCGAGCAAGTACTTGTAGTTTATTATTCGTACAATCCAAAATTATGACACAGGTATTTTTGTCGTCTCAAATGAGATCTTAGACAGACCTGACACACATATGTATAATAATGTATACTGTTCTTGTCTGCGTATTCAAATAAGATCTTAAGCATACATTGAGCACTTCTGTGCAAAGCTATATACTCTCAACATCATATTTGATTTGAAAGTATGCATCGACTAGCAATTTTTATACCATCGTATACTTTCCTCGGTGGTATCTGTCATCCCCAGCATTTGCGCCTGTTATACACTCTACTTGTTCTTTGAGTCTTGCAGAAGTGTCGAGGGGTCAGGCGAGCACACAATCCGAGGTATATATCC